CGGGAAGGCGCGGCTGGGCGAGGAGTCGGTGATTTGAGGCATCCATATAGACGTAGGGGCCTCGGCGCCGACTACTCGGTACATTATGATCTCTTTTTCTTTTCTCTCGTCCATATTAATGCCCTCCTCTGATTTGTTTGGATCGCTTGACGGAGTCGTCCTTCAATACCAGCCTCACGTCTTCACGTTCGTTTTAATCTCCTACTCATGTCTAACTACCAGATACTCGTAGTTTTTTACGATTTATTCGCCCTAGTGTATACAACGTTGTACATATGAGGCTGCAAACATGAATTGACGTCTAGGTCAGCTAGAGCTGGGAGAGTGAATGGGTTCCTGAAGATGTCGTTGAAGCTTGGTTTGCCCCACCACCGATATTTCGTCGATTTGCCCGCCAGTGTAGATATACAAAATAATGTTATACATACGAGCTACAATTGACGTCTATGTCAGCTATCAGAAGTCGGGGACTTTCTTCTTGTTGTGCACTCGAGTATGCCGCGTCAACTGGTCCGCCCTTGCGAAAGACTTGTTGCACGTATCGCAGGTGTACGGCTTTGCACCCGTATGGGTCCGAAGCTAGAAGAGGATTGATAAGGGGATTGTGCAGACTGTGAACCGTGACGTACATGTTTCGAAAGGTTGGAAGACTCTGAGAAGGCTCTATTCCGCAATTTGATCAGTCATGCAAAACGAGGGAAGAACGCGAACCCACTTCTCGCAATGAGGGCATTTGAACGGCTTCTCGCCGTTGTGCGTGCGTTTGTGGATGGTGAGCGCGCCTGTGATGGCGAATGATTTGCCGCAGCCAGGATAATCACACAAATAAGGCTCTGTCAACTAGTGTTGAGTGACGGTCTTATAGAGTCTGGGAGTTCTACTCACTTTCTTGAGTATGTCGCCGCATGTGCTGTTGTAAAGTGGCAGCCTCTGAAAAGTTCTGCATGCAGACTTTACACTGGAACGGCCGGTGGCCGGTATGCGACTAGATAAAGATATGAGCCAAAAACTTTAACCGAGAGAATATCTGCGAACCTGGAGGTGTCTGCTGAGCTTCTGTTTACTCGTGAAACCATTTTCGCCATGTCGAGCACAGTCTTGCCAGTAGCAATCGTAACAAGTCTTTCCCGACCCGACGTGGACATCCGTTAGATGTTGGGTGAGCTCGTCTAAAGAGCTAAAGCTCTGCCCGCACGATATCCATTGGCAGGCGACATGGCCCGCAGGGCTGGCGTTCTCGGGAGGTAGTGTCGATGGTCCAGGTTCTGAAGGAGCGAATGGTGCTTGTGCTGGTTCGGGATGAAGCACAGCATGAGCGTGGAGACAAGGGGGGATGTCTTCCAAGCCTAGGTGGTCGTGAAAGAGGTGAGAGGAAAGGACACATAACATTGAATCGATATCGCCCGAGGACGGCCCCGGGACTAGATCAGGAGTGGGATATACGTTGCAATCTTTCCACTGACACGACATCGAGGAAAGGTCTAGTGGGGCAGATGTTGTGGGAGGCGAGGGTGGAGGGGGCTGGCAGAGATGTACCAGATGCACAAGGTTGACATGTTCGGCAAGGTCAGAGAGACTGGTGAAGAAGACACCACAGTCGCCCCACATGCAGGGGAGAGCCAGTTGAGGAGCGATTGCCGCTGGTTCAATGCGCGGGGAGGGTGTTGAGGCAGTAGGCGTAGATACGGCGGTGTCCATCGCCATTAGAAAATCACTGCCGGACGCGTCCAGCATGGCCGTGCCACCTGGCGGGACGCAGTCCATGCGGCTCTCCCCTCCGCAAGTGCATACAAATGTTTTGAGCGAGGAATTCCACGACCAAGTACTGGTGGTCTCTGGATGATTTCTAGGTTCCTCATAATATGAATGGAAATCTGTACAACATTGCAGCTAGAAAATCAATGTAAGACGCGCGCAATTCAACGAAGAATTATTCAAAAACGAACAAACTCGTCGAAGCCATTACAGTCCTTGCAGTTAGATGCGTCTTCGCAGACGAGATCGCAGTGATTCCCGGGGCACTCCATGTCACAAATGGGAGCCTCGTCGCTACACGCCACCACTACGCACTGGTCTGTACATTGCGAAGTCATGGAGGGTACAACATGGCAGTCAGCGCAGGCAAGAGCCGCCTGGTTTCCGTGGGTGGGTGACATTGTGCAGACTGAGGTGAAAGAAGAGCGGTGAACGTAAAATCCAGGATGACTTACCTCGATTATCTACCTCACTGCCGGAACACCGGATCACTCCGGTCTGCGAGGGTCCCCAATGTCATTGTCAATTGCGACGACCCTCCCAGTGCACGGTGTGCACACCATCATCCAGCAAATTGGACGCAATCTTGATACCGAAAACAAGGCGTGAACCCTTATACCAAAAGATTGAAATAATTTTTAGTAGCGTACATCTCATCATTTGCAAGTCCCACGGCCATGTCGCTATGTAAATATCGCTTCGCATAGTCCTTCAATACCAGCCTCACGTCTTCATGTCGGAAAAATCCTGTTTGGGTTGTAACGGCTTGAGGACAATTACCGGCTTGTAGTGGATCACCATGGATTATAACCTTCTGGCGGAAAAAGTTGTAAGCTGTCTCAAGCCGTCATATGGAGCATAAGGCACATACCAACTTGTGAGGGATTATGTGTGCTCACAATCACTGATGAGGCTCAGCACCTGAACTGGTCAATCATGCACTGTGGTAGCCTGAACACCAAATATTAATCACTTGCAAATGTCCCACTAGAAGAATCACCAATGTATTGATTCAACACCATTCAACCCCCAATTTTGCGGATATTCATAACTGTGGAGCTGTGTGGAGCTCCATCCGGTGGTTGGAACAAGGTACATAACTCAGGTCATGACCTCTCAAAATTTTCCATGTGTGTATGCATGTGATGAAAATCAGATCTATTATAATGTGCTTCATTGTGTAAAAGTCAATTTACTTAAAACTGTTACTGCCTTACTTACATTGTGTGAACTTGAATTTACTTGAGAGTTTGGAATAGGAGATAGGAGATTTGCTCAGCGAATAACAGCTTAAGCCTGTTCATCTTTTTTTCTTGCTGCATGGTGAATGAATTATAAGCCATCAGAGCACGTTAGTACATTGAAGCCATCTTGACACTGTATGGGCTTTGGTGCTTCTCAACAGCATAGAAGCAGTCATAAGCCGTTGTAAGCCATGCTGTGGCTTACAAGCACATATATCAACTGGACCTAAATGTTGTAAGCCACGTCCAGGATTATTGGCTTACAATGGGTTACGAGTGACTGTGATCTGTTGTATTCAGTTTGAGATTTTTGCGACACACTTTTGTTTCAATCTCCTACCCATGTCTGACTACCAGACTTGTAGTTCTTTACGATCTATTCACCTAGTGTATACAACATTGTACATATGAGGCTGCAAAGATGAATGGGCCTTAAAGTCAGCTAGAGTGAATTGCTTTTTTAAAGATGTTGTACTGCCATGCATCTTCAATCCTTGGCCTTCTTCTTTCTGCTCCGTGCCGTCGCCCAATGTGTCCCAATGCGCAGTTGATACCAGATTTGACGCGAATGATGGGGAGACAGGTCAAGGATAGTTTAGGCCTTGAAGAAGCGGCACCCAGCACATTTCCTGTCCTTTTTCCCATCCACGAAACAATAGGAAAAAGCAAGGAGGGTTTTGAATTGACCTGGTAACCAGCACTGCAATTCCTCTGCAGTTTTTTTGGACCACCCTTCCCAATAACCAGGGTGCACTGGGAGAAAAAAGGGAGGGCAGCGTGAGTAGCACCTCAAGATGACATCAACAGCTAGGTTCAGAAGCAGCTCTTGATTGCCACAATCGTCTTCGCCAACAAACACCTTGAGGTCGCACTCAGGTGCAGAAAGGATCACATCTGCATGCTTCTTGCCCAGCACTGACTTGAGCTCGACCCGATGTGACTGCAGTATACTGTTGACTGGAACTCGGACCAACTTGAGATCTGCTAGGACAGGTGCAAGGTCACCAAGGATCAGGGATGCGGGATCATGAAGGACATCATGGACATAGAGGACACACTCAAGATCCAGAAAGTTTGATTCGCTGATGGTGAGCGTGCCGCGTACACTGCATTCGTGGACAGAGCTGTTATGGAGACCCAGTCCCGACCACTCGCAATGCAGACAGTGGACAAGCCGGTAACAGTACTGAATGTCACTGACTTTGTAGGAGCGGGGTGAAATCAGCTTACGCATAGCACCTATCATGCCATTCCATGCTCTCTGGAGCATTGACAGCTTGGTTTGACGATTGGATTCAACAAATTTTGCCATCCGAAGCTTAATAACCTTCATCACTTCGTCCGAGCACCTGAGTGCATTCACTGTGTAAACAATGTCGGTCCCATCCTTCAACCCCATGAACCAGGACGAAAAGGTATCGGAGAGGATGGATGGGTGTATGGTGCAAGATGGTCTGGGTCCAGAGGCAGACCGAGTGAGTCGAGCAGGTGGGCATGAGTGAGGATTGCATCGAGTTGAGCAGCGTGCATCGCTTCATCCGAGCGCCCGAGTGCATTCGCTGCGTAGACAATGTCAGTCCCATCCTTCAACCCCATGAACCAGGATGAAAAGGTATTGGAGAGGATGGGATGGGCGTATGGTGCAAGATGGTCTGGGTCCGGAGGCAGATCGAGCGAGTCGAGCAGGTGGGCATGAGTCAGGATTGCATCGAGTTAGCAACTTTACTCCTCTCGAATGGCCACGGAGACCGATCAATGTCCACCTAGCAACAGACTAAGTGCTTGCTGCAATACGTGGCGCGCGTTTTCGTGCATGGGTGACCATGATGTGCAGACAGGATGCCCAGCGTGTGGCTGTGCTAATTATTCCTACACTCAAACGGCGCCTCAGCAATGATCGCTTCAGTAAACAAGTCACGTTATCGCGACTCTGCTTGTTTCCTACCACAACCGGGTTTTCTATCCTTGGTTTCTGTTGTGCACCACTTTCTGCACCACTAAGCCGCCGTAGCACAAAGGTAGTGCATTGCCTTCCTATTGAGTGGGTCAGGTCAGGCAAAGGTTGTGGGTTCGAGCCCCATCGGCGGTTTTCTTTTTTGGCGATGAGACGCTCAATTTTCATTCGAGAGTCGCACGAAACACAAAGGTAGTGCGTTGCCTTCCTATCACGCAGGTCAGGTCAGGCAAAGGTTGTGGGTTCGAGCCCCATCGGCGGTTTTTTTTTTGCTTCTTCCACGAGACACCCAATTTTCATTCGCATTGAGAGTAAACGCAGTCGCACTTGGCCTGCGTAATACGTATATACTACATCGCATCCAGACAGTGTTTCAAGAAGTTCTTGAATGGCGATACTTGGTGAATACGGTCGGATTGCGGGACAGAGCTAGACACAAGAATAAATAGACAAGAATACAGTATGCGTCCTCTGGTAAAGAAGACGAATCTCCTACCACGCTAACTCGTGAAAATACTCGTAGTACATGTCATAAAAGATTGCAAAGACAGGCTTCGCGCGGGCCGATCGCGGACTAATCAACAGAGCCAAAGCGGAAGGAATCGGTCGGCAGTCGGCCAGCTCATCAAGAAACATCTTCACCCTAGACTTCATCTAGACGACCACCCATGTCCGCCCCCTCCCTCGTAAAATGGGACGCCCGGTCTGTGCCTCTCTTCTGGGCCCTCTCGTAGCTTGCTCATCCTTTTCTAGGTCCCTCGGACCCGTACCTCACGATGCCAGCTACTACTCTAAGTGCATGCTCGGCGGCGCCCTTGCATGTGGCTTCACCCACGCCGGTATCACCCCCCTCGATGTCGCAAAATGTAACATGCAGGTCCGTCCATGAATCCACGCGTTTGCGTCTGCATCGGCTCACTCACTTTTTTTTTTTCCAAAAGGTCAACCCCGCCAAATACAAGGGCCTCTTCCCCTCCCTGAGCCTTCTCATGAAAGAGGAGGGGCAGACCGGTATTTGGAAAGGCTTCGGGCCCACCCTCGTCGGATACTCCCTCCAGGGCATGTTCAAGTACGGTCTCTACGAAATATTCAAGGATACCTACATGAACCTTGCTGGCGAGGACCTGTCCAACAAGTACAAGCCCGCCATCTGGCTTGCTGGGTCCGCCTCTGCTGAAGTCTTTGCCGACATCGCCCTCTGCCCGCTGGAGATGACAAAGGTCAAAATCCAGACCAGCGCGACCGGAACCTTCCCCACCGGCTTTGCCGCCGCCTTCGCAAAGATGAACGCGACAAAAGTCGAGACTCGCTTCCCCTTCGGCTCCCTCGGTCCTCTATGGTCGCGTCAGGTTCGTCTTTGGCTTTTTTTCGCGATTTTGGCCTGTATTTACATGCTGCTCGCAGATCCCCTACACCATGGCCAAGTTCTTCTTCTTCGAGAAGATCGTCCAACTGTTCTACACCCACGTCTTCACCGAGCCCAAGGACACCTACAGCAAACCCACCCAGCTCGGTGTCACCTTTGCCTCCGGTTACCTTGCCGGTGTCGTCTGCGCCATCGTCTCCCACCCGGCCGACTCTCTAGTCTCTCTCCTCGGCAAGGCAGAAAACAAGGGCAAATCCGTCGGACAGATCACCTCCGAGGTCGGCTTTGGCACACTCGCGACAAAGGGACTGGGCACCCGTGTTCTCATGATTGGTGCGTTCAATCCGCTACTTTTCCACATCCCGATGTTTATTTTCCGCTTTAGGTACCCTCACTGGCTTCCAATGGTGGATCTACGATTCGTTCAAGGCCGCGATGGGTATGGGGACGACCGGTGGCAAGTAATCAACGTTCGTTGACGGATCCTGTCATAGACTGTCACGCCGGGCCTGCATGCATCCTAGTTTACTTATTCGACCTTGTCCCTCCTTTCGTACATATTAGAATGATACTAGACTGGAACTTAATACCTTCCGCTCCCCCCTCTTATATGTGTCCAGCGATAGCGGCAAAGCATTTGAGAGCAATGTTACAAGTCTATACGACGTCCTTACTGAGCCTTGCCCCTTTGGCCTTTTTACCCACGCACCACACCCTCTTATGCGCGTCCAGCGATAGCGGCAAAACATTTGAGAGCAATGTTACAAGTCTATACGACGTCCTTACTGAGCCTTGCCCCTTTGGCCTTTTTACCCACGCACCACACCCTCTTATGCGCGTCCAGCGATAGCGGCAAAGTATTTGAGAGCAATGTTACAAGTCTATACGACATCCCTACTGAGCCTTGCCCCCTTTGGCCTTTTTACCCTCGCGCGACTCGCCCGCCAACCAGGCAGCGGAGAAGACGAAGAACGCCACGCTGGTGCTGATGGCGCCTGCATAGTAGGGCCATGCAGCACTGAGGAATCTCGGGTATCCGTCGTGGCGCGGAGGGACAAGAGCGACCGTAGTCGAGCTGTGGAGGTGCGTCCATCTGTGTGCGGCCCGTTCGTTAGCAGACCGTATCTCCCAAAGCGCGGCATCGTCCGTACCCTTTTCGTTTATAGTCGACCACAAATTTAAATACACCGTGGCGGTCTGGGGCGCGGAAGGTCACCGAGTACGTGCCGGGCGATCCCGCGACCGCCGGCAGGGCAGTCCGGATGTGCGGGTCCAGCATCGTAAACTCGAGCTGCAGGTCCTTGATGCCGGAATACGGCTCCCACGTCGCGGTCTTGGGGTGGAAGCGCGAAATGTGGGCAGTGAACACGATATTGTCGTTGGTGGTGTAGTGCTCTTCCGGCGTCGTGGAGTTGACGAGGTGGTGCGTCGTGCTGTCGATGCGCAACACGAGCGACTCCTGGAACGTCCACGCCGAAACCTCGCGCGCGAACCTGGCGTTACCGGACTTGGCTCTAGGGAAATATTGAGTTGAGATATGAGGTGAAACAAGAGAAACATACTTGGACACCTGCTTCTTGAAGAACTTGTCGCTGAGCATATCGACTCCGCCGAGCCAAGTAACCCGAGCACCGCCAGCAGCCTGGAAGCCGCTCGCTACGCTGAGCTGGCTGCCGGCCCACAGACCTTCGCCGCCTTTCTCGGTTGCATCGACCAGAACGTCGGCACCGCCCTGCGAGTCCGCGGCGAAGCTCTCTGCGGGCGCGTGCAGAATGGGCACGAGCCGCGGGTTGTTTCCGTGGGCAAAGGGGACACCCGAGAACCATACGGGCGACATTGCGGGCAAGATTGTGGAAGGCAAGGACGCGTCAATCGGGATCACCGAGACGGGGTCCTTGCGTTCGGGGAAGAACGAGATCAAAGGCGTGCCGGGGGGAGGGAGGACAAGAGAGAATTCGGCAGCCAGGGAAGAAAGCGGCGTTTGCTTGGGAGAAAGACCAATGAGGAGGTTTGTGCCGCCGGACACGATTTCGACGAGAGACTGAGGTGTGATATCCTTGGCGAAATCTGGGCAACCGTCAAGACTCGTGTTAAGTTGGGATGAATGCACGCACTTTTGGATTCCGAGGCCAGAATAATAATGTGAGAGAATGCTGGGACATCATACTCGACTACAGCTGGCTTCTCGTCCTTGGGTGCGCGGAATGTAAGACTGTATCCCTGCTCTAACCGGGAATTAAGGAAATTGCATTGGAATACGCGCGCAGCACACCTTTCAAGTCGTCGAAGAAGAGACTAAAGTCCTTCTTGTGCGCGTTCTCGACCAGCACGAGAACAGAGTCTCCATCGCTGGATTTGGCGTGGAGAAGGCCCGCGAGGCTCAGGAAAAATAGGGGGAGGGAGTAGAAGGAAAGCATGGGTCCAGGGTTGCAACCAGCACGACAGACCGGGAGTCGCTGGCGAATAAATGAAGGTTGGGATTTCCGTACAAAACTAGTTCCACGTAGACGGGCGACGTGTGTTTGTCATCTCCTTCCCCCAACTGTGATTGCCGTATTGGGAAATTATACGATATCCAACTTGAGGGCAATCGTAAAGAAATATATATAGTGCATCCCACTACAGCGCAATCTGCGAACTATCGAGACCAAGCGCGTGCAGGAATAGATTTACATTTGCTAGCTTTGTTCGCCTCTCATCCTCGTCCGCCACCCAACCCTTGTTGGCGCTCAACACGTTCTCGAGCACCTTGTCGCGCAGGGAGGTCACCAGCACCTGGTGTTGTTCCGGCGCCGCCTGCAGAGCCAGCGCAGCCAGGAACTGCCACACTGGCTGGTCGATGATGTCGATAGCAAGGGCGGCACTGGTGGGATGGTGCGCCGACAGCGTGATGCGACTCGACGGGAATAGGGCGAGGAAGTGAGGAGTGAGGAGGACAAAGAATTGGTCGAATACGGCTTGCCTTCATGGGAGTCAGCATCGATGAAAACAACCAGCGTCGTTGGGTCGCTCACCATTGCTCAAGAGAAGCTTGGGCGCTCATAACGTCTACCGGTTCAGCGCCTGTCGACCATGCCTGCTTGATAACCTCCACCCGGCTGAGGAACAATGTGAGGAGCGCCAATCCGGGCTACAATTATGCGGTTCAGCCCGAATGAATCAGCAACTAGATCTAGTTCACCTTGGTCTTCGCGACGGCGGCAATGTCATGGCTGCGGTCGATCAAAAGCCCCAAGAGTGCGGTCACGACATGCAGCTCAAGGTTGGCAACAATCGGGAGGATGCTTTGCAAAACGCTGCCAAGGAAAGCTTGGGTCTGGCGCTCTGTTTCAGCGCGCTCCGGGGAGTCCTCGAGTGCGTCCAGCAGCGGCGCCTCCTTCACAACGTCTAATTGCGTGAAGCACGCAACGAGGAGGGTCATGAGCGTGAGCATGCGCGAAGAACCAATATGGCGGGTGAGGCGCGGCAGAAGTTTTTTGCCCTTGCTCGGAGATAGCAAAGAAACGAAGGGATGAGGATTGCTATATGCTTCATGAGTTTCAGCGCCCATGTTATGAGAATAATACTCGTACCTGGTCTCTAAAGGCACCATGACTTTAAGACCTTCCCAGAGCTGCTCGACGAGGTCGTCGTACTCCTTTTGCCTGTCGAGATTGAGGATAAATACCAAGATTTGTCGGGTCAGACATACCAATGTTGAGACGCTTCCTCCTCTTCCAGCGGAGGCTGCTCCCGTCGCAGATGCTCGACCTTGAGAACGAGATCATAC